GGGGGCAGCGTCCCACGGAATGGGTCGGAAGTCCATTTACAGCGGCCTGGGGTCAGGGGTAGCTGAGGGGCACTCGCCGCCACAGCCCGCCACACAGACAGTTCTTGATCCACCGCTGCTCCCACTGCTTGACTGCTGTTGTCCTGTTGGGTGACTTGAGCATGGTGACGCAGCCGCACCTGCAGGGAGTGTGGCAGGTGGGGTACGGGGTGGACCTTCCTCTGCCCTGCCATCCTGCCAGCCTATTCCCCATTGTGCCACACTGCCACCTGCCATGGGGCCTTTGCACATGCTGTTCGGCCCACGAGGAATGCTGTTCCCCGTGCCTACGCCAGCTAACCACGCCACGTCCTTCAATCCTGGCTCCAGTGCCCCCCACAGGGGGCAACCCCCACACCGTATGGAGTGGTTGGGGCTCCAGTCCTGGCTCGGCCACTCCCTAGAGGCATAACCCTGGGAGTCACACGGTACTCCGGGCCTCGGTTTCCCGGGGAACGCATGGGAACCTGGCTGTTCAGCGGTGTTGCCGCACTGCGGTAGCCGTAGCTTAGTTTCTGCACTTGGGTCACTGAGCTATGTGGGCTGCACGGTCACCCGGCCCCGGCACCATCCGACAGCCCAGGACAGACTCGCAGGACCTGCCGGGCCGCTCACCTGGCGCAGGCCTTGCACTCCTCCGTGGGGTAGGCTCCCAGGTGCAGCCTCCGCAGGTGGTCGATCCTGGGCTGGCCCGGCGCCCTGGCGGACAAGGACAAAAGGGGAGGGCGTGAGAGAGGCCTGGGGTCGGGCTTGGGCAGCAGCGTCTGTCCACAGGCCGGCGGTGCCTCGCCGCGCAATCCGCCAGCCGACACGCAGGCCCCGGCGTCTGTGGACGGTGAGGCAGGAGGCGCGAGGCCACCGAGACGGCGCTTTCCCGGGTGCGCCAAAGTCCGTGAAACCCAGATGTCTCCGATGTGGGGGCGCCCAGCGTACCCACAGCCTTCCGGAAAGTGGACGGACAGGGAACGACGTGTCAGAGGAGCGAAAGAACTCGTGACGGTGTGGCAGGCACGCCCCAGGTTTATGATGACAACGATGTGAAAACGATTTCATTAACAATAACTGATAGTGATATGAAGCAAAATAACAGCTCTGTGCCCAACCAAAGGCTGGAAAGTTACGAAGCCCACGGAGGGATTCAGAGGGGTTTATACTTTCCTGCTTTTTCCTTAGTTAATAATTCTAATGACCACATCACCATTGCCTTTGAAATGGGAGAGTTCTGTCTACACACAGGTACACACAACTGCACACAAATACCGGCAGGTGGGAGCTCGAGTTCCCGGCCCCTCGCCACGGCTGGGGCAGAACACACCGGCCCGGCCTCCACGGCGGCGAAATCTACGGCCACGGTGCCGGCGGTGGCCCGGCCACTCTGCCTTTGGGATTTGTGCTTTGGGGACCACCGAGTGTGCTGCGCGATGCCACTCGGCCGCTCGCTGCAGCACTGCCTGTGCCGGGAAAAGCCGACACGACCTGCACCCTCAGTGGGGCAGGGACCGGGCCCCACGCTGACCCCGGCGGCCTCCGAGGCGTGTGCGAGTCCCAGGCGCGCGGCAGGCTGAGCAGAGTGTGCGCGTGGGGCTGTCTCCGCACGGCCTCTGCCCCCGCGCCCAGCCCCG